GAGTTCAAGGTCTGAGTGAGTGCATTTCCGGACTGACATGGTTATTGAACAGTGTGCCGACAGATATTTTGCAGTTGTAAATTTCTGAGTGATGACTACTAGTCACGATTCAAATTTATACGTGTACTCGATAATCTCCATGTGCACAAAATGGCACCCACTGACTTTCATCAATAATTGATAAATGTTTACAGAGACCAAACTGGATAAGTTAGATCAGTCAAGCTGTGGTTGTTACATTTCTGCAGTGTCAACAGCAATGTGGAAGGCGAGCCAAGCTCTTGATGGCCATGCACAGCTGCCCCACCACAAAATGAGTAGGGCCTCAATCAGTTCATGCATGTGAATCCGCCAGGGGTGGTGACTCTGCTGTAGAACAGTGTTTTGTAGCTGAGAGTTTACTCTGACAAATAGTGCTGCTGTGCTCTTTTATCTGTTGTACTTTCCACTGAAAGAAATAGGTGGCATTGTTTTCCAAGAAACAGACATATACAGGTAAGTGACCAGGCAGATGCTATCTACCAACAAGCATGTTTCTATCCTGCCTTGGGGATTTGTTCCTCCAGTCGTTCAAGGCTCTCCATCACCACTGCGGTTTTCCTCCCTCTGCAGTTTTAACCTACTTACTTAGTTTCAAGGCATGCCAGGGAAATCTGAGATCCATGTCACTATCCAAGTCAACAGGGGGCTGTTTACAAAATCACAGTAGCACTCAGGGCAAAACCTGAGAGGGAGAACAGGGAAGCAAGGAAGCCGTTGGTGGCACTGCCATCTGGTTGAATTGTTTTACTGCCTGCCAAAACACATCTCCAGCCACAGAGACGCTGACTGCAGACACTTTAAATTTATGAGTATTTATGATGTAGTCTACCTTGATTTCAGCAAGGCATTTGATACTGTCCCCCACGACATCCTTATAACAAAGCTGAGCAAGTGTGGGATAGACGAGTGGACAGTGAGGTGGGTTGAGAACTGGCTGACTGGCAGAGCACAGAGGGTCGTTGTTGGTGGTGCAGAGTCCGGTTGGAGGCCTGTAAGCAGCGGTGTTCCTCAGGGGTCTGTGCTGGGTCCAGTCTTGTTCAACATCTTCATCAATGACCTTGATGAGGGGATAATGGCCACCCTCAGCAAGTTTGCTGATGATACGAAGTTGGAAGGATTGGCTGACAGCCTGAAGGCTGTGCTGCCATTCAGCAAGACCTGGACAGGCTGGAGAGCTGGGCAGAAAAAAACCAGATGAGGTTTAACAAAAGCACGTGTAGAGTCTTGCATCTGGGGAGGAATAATTGCATGCACCAGTACAGGTTGGGGGATGAGCTGCTGGAGGGGAGCCCTGTGGAAAGGGACCTGGGTGTCCTGGTGGATGACAGGTTGGCCATGAGCCAGCAGTGTGCCCTTGTGGCCAAGAGGGCCAATGGCATCCTGGGGTGCATTAAAAAGAGCGTGGCCAGCAGGTCGAGGGAGGTGATCCTCCCCCTCTACTCTGCCCTGGTAAGGCCTCATCTGGAGTACTGTGTCCAGTTCTGGGCACCCCAGTACAAAAAACACAAGGATCTCTTGGAAAGAGTCCAGCGGAGGGCCACAAAGATGGTGAAGGGCCTGGAGCATCTCTGCTATGAGGAAAGGCTGAGTGAACTGGGTCTGTTCAGCCTTGAGAAAAGGAGACTGAGAGGGGACCTGATCCAGGTCTATAAATATCTGAGGTGTGGGGGGCAGAATGGCGAGGCCTGTTTTCAGTGGTGAGTGGAGACAGGACAAGGGGAAACGGCTGGAAACTGCAGCATAGGAAGTTCCGCACAAATATGCGCAAGAACTTCTTTACAGTGAGGTGACAGAGCACTGGAACAGGCTGCCCAGGGAGGTGGTGGAGTCTCCTTCTCTGGAGATGTTCAAGACCTGCCTGGATGCCGACCTGTGCGACCTGCTGTAGGGAACCTGCTTTGGCAGGGGGTTGGACTCGATGATCTCTGGAGGTCCCTTCCAACCCCTACAATTCTGTGATTCTGTGATTCTGTGATTCTGTGAGTGTTGGATCCTGAAGAGATCTACTTGCTGACCTTGAGGCTGACTGCAAGATATGCAGCTTCCTAGCTCACCGAGTTTACGTGAGGCCACCTACAAGCAGGTTTGAGCCTGTGACTATCACTTGGACGCTCTCCTATAGTACAAAGGCTGCAATAGTTCATGGGCGAAGTGATGATGCCTAGCCAAGCTCTAACAGCCTTCTGTTGTGTCCACAGGCCAGCACAATCTATTGACTTTCCTACACAAAACAACAGGAGGAATAATACTAGCAAAACTGACAGAACAACACCACACTGGCATAAAACAGTTGGAGATCATCTCCTAGAGAGCACAAATGGGACTGTAGCACAGTTAGCAACTGTGGCTCCACTCGGAAGCATCAAAAGAGATCATCAAGGCCACAGTAAATGACAAATTCTGTCATTTCCTTGTCAGCAAACAGTTTTCTACAGGATGAAAACATCACCATGGCAGTACTGAATGGAACCAATTGAACATGAAACTGGAAACCCTGTGACCATGGAACATTACAGAAGCCCACCTGTCCTGTGTACAGGACTGGACATGTCTCCAGTGTGTCCACTACATACTTGATGCTGGTTTGCAGGTCATCAGCAAGCAGTTTCTACCCGTTCTGAAAGAGTTTCCGCAGTACGTGACTCATGCAAAACCTGTGGTTTTCACACTGGACAGTGCAAAAAGTTTCCCACCATCCCAGAAGATCATCATTACAATCACCCATGTAGCAATGAAAGAATAGGTAAGCAACTATCGTGTTCCATGTCTGTAGACCCCAAAGAAAATCCCATTGAAAACTACTGAAGAAGTCAATTTGAAGAGCCTGCTAGAAGTCAATTGATCCTTCACAGGTGTGGTTTCATTATCATTGTCATTTATCATCAGAAGTCTGGGCACAGGGCTGAGGTTTCTGATTAATCACGTAAACTATTTCCAAATCTCATATTGGATCTCAAACTGGAATACAGAATGAATTCTCCAGTTCTCAGTTCGGTTCAGTAAGCAGGAGGTCAGGTCGGTAGCATTCACCATCGCCCTCTCTCTGAGCAAAGCAAGCAGGGAAGGAGGGGTACATTTTAGCATGTTCCTCATGTCTTTGCCTTTGGCTCCCAGAGTCACAGTCTCACACCTTCCACACGATGCAGCCCACAGACAGATGATGGCTCTTGTCTTCCCCACCTCCACACCACTTTTGGTAGGTACGACGGCACTGAATTACACCACATGCTCCTCTTACCCAGCACTGCCACAGGACACTGGCTAATGCCACAAGCAAGCACTAACAACCCATATACAGAATAGCCTCTCAGGCTCCTGCAAGACTGACCCCAAGAACCCCTGAACCTAACTCTGTGTCTTTGTATTACACACCCCTCAGGAGTTCATTTACACAATCTCCTCCTGTAATTTATCAGCAGAACTCTATAACTATCATGACAGTCAGAAACCTGAGAGAAAAAAAAAAAATCAGCTTTTTCTAGTTGTTCTTATATCAATAAGCCATTGCTTGATTTTTCCCAGTCTCTCTTCTTCCTTTCCTATTTTGGAAGCAGCACTGGACCGTTATTTCTTAGGAATCTTCCGCACGTCATTAACAGTCTGTTGTTAAGAATGTAGATCTCGATCATGCCTTTTACCACACCTGTCTCCTGACACGATCTGTGTTGCTGTTCTACAATTCCTTTTCTTAGATGAAGGATAAGACAATATTCAGAATGAAGATATACCAAGAAATTATTTGGCAGCTTTCTTCTCTTTCCCTTTCCTAGTCATCCCAACTTTCTTGTTCTCTTACCTTCTGCACAACAGGATACCGGGTCTCATACAACTCTCTATTCTCACGTTATGTAGTTTCTGAACATCAACTCAGATTATCCCACTGCATATGGACTGATATTTTTCCAGAACATGACTTACTTTGCATGTTCACACACTATTGCATTACAACCTTGATGCTGGGCACCACTCCAAGCAAAACAGGACTAATTCCACAGTTTTCTTTAGATATACTGGAAGAATACACAGGGTTTTTAAACATGCAGAAAGCACCATTTCCACTCAATGACAAACATCGTTATGAAGATGGAAGACATCGGGAATAAAATACAGGGGGAATAGTTATAATCCTTTTAAAAGAAGTGAGCTACAAAGTGTCAGCACCCTGAGGCTGTCAGGATAGAAAAGTAAGTAAAAGCATATAAAAAACTTCAGTCATGCAATCAGTGAGAGCGTGTCATGGTGCGTTTTGAATCTAGAGTAATTAGTTACCACTCTCTTCAGTCAAACACAGGAAAATGTTTGCAACCAGCTTACTCTGTATTTGCCTCAGTGAATCAGAATAAGATAATCAAAGAATATAAATGAAGAAAGAAAAGAAATTCAACTCATAGAAACAGTGGTGCAATTATGTAGTCATACGTGTGACCACACTTCAGAAGTGAGGAGGAAATGTCACAGGAAAGAAGTGTGTGTCCTCCTCCATGACAAGTAAGAAACGTCCAAAGCTATAAATTGAATTAACAAGACAGAGGTATTAAGAGCTCCTGCAGAACGTTTCTGATAAAAGTAAATGTCAAGAAACACATACGAAAAAGTGATCAGCCACGTAGGGAACCTCCCACTATGGAAATAAAACAACGCAAACAGTTTAAAGACTGATTTCTGAACCAGTGAAATGCATTTCATCATTCCAATTAAAGCAATACATGCTACACTCCATGAACATGAAACCAAAATTGCATCTGACAGAAGAACAATATGAACACATTGAGGGCAGCATGCAGCAGATGAAGACAAACGCTGTCGGATTTCTCTGAAAATACGAATTCAAATAACAGTCACCTGCCACCATTTCAGACCACGGAATAACAATATGCCAAGAGTCAGATCTGTTAATATTTTGGAAAGAAAAATAAAATCAAGTACGCTAACCATCCCTAAGCCATGAAATTGCATTGCTTTGGGAAATGTGTAATTTGAGAAAATGAACATACCTTAGGCAGTGGTTTCTTCTCAGCACAGTTTATACCTCCAACAAAGACCATATTGGGCATCACTGGTCTGGGATACTCAAACACAAAGTCAAATCTCATTATTGAAATAGAAGCAGACTTCAGGAGGTCAGTCAGGGATACATCTCTTTGAAGAACTTCAGAGGAAAGCTGTATTGCAGCTTGATAGTACCCGTTACAGTAAAACAGCTCCAAGAGTGAAATCAGTGTATTTTCCACTCTCTGGAAAAATGTCATGTGGTCTGAATTGAAGGAAAGTGTTCTGGGGACATACGACAGAGGGCTTGAGCACTGTGCTGCATCAAAGTGTAGATTGCAAGGTAATCCTCTCATGAAGAACACAAATGGAAGTGAAAGGTAATTAGCAACTGTTGCTCCACACATAAAAATGGGGTCTGTGAGGACTGCATCGAAGCCGCTTTGATTCAAGTACTGCAGAGTTTCTGTGCTGCTGAACAGTTCTCTGCACTGAAGATAGAAGGATTCAAAAACATGCTTCGCAATGTTGTACAGTTCTAGAACATACAGTGGGAGAGGCAGACTCTTCAGGTGAGCAGCAAGATACAGCTGAAAGGCATTATCCAGGTCTTCTAACTTGGTGGACACTGGGTATGTCTTCACAGTGTATGCGTGTTTTTGTGTTTCTCCCGTATGCCAGCTTACTTCTGGTTTAAGCACCACCACTTCATGTCCCCTCTCGGCGAGCTTCTGAACTACTTCCTTCATGCTCAGCCAGTGGCTTCCAACCATGGGCACCACCAGGAGTTTCCCTCCTTCAGAGAGGCCAGGAATGAGGAGGATAAAAATCCCGGCAGCAAGTGGACAGCAAAGCCGCAGCGTCATTGTGCTGTGGGCAGAGCACTGACTGCGAAACCGTCACCTTCTCCTTCTCCTTCTCCTTCTCCTTCTCCTTCTCCTTCTCCTTCTCCTTCTCCTTCTCCTTCTCCTTCTCCTTCTCCTCCTTCTCTTTCTCCAGGCTGTAGCTATAATACACTTCGGTAGGAAGTGGATGGATTTATCTGCTGAGTTGTGTTGAATTGTGATTATCTTCTAGTTAATGATTTACTGACTTAAACACTGCACACCTATCAGAGAATAATGCCGGATTTTTTTTGCTTGTTTTTTTGTTTTTTTTTCTGCTAATGCCAAGTACAACAAGCTTTACCTATGCCAAGTCAGTAGAGCTATTAAATACCTAACAGACAACAAGCTCCTTGACATCCTAGTTAGATTTTTACAGACTTCTCTTGAACACTGATGTGTCTTCACTCTGCTCTGGTCAGGACAAAGGAAGGCAAGTCTCGTGAAAACAACTTCTAGACATTTTATAACAGTAAAAATGCAATGGAATGCAGGAATTTTGGCCACAGAAAATCTGTCACAGAATAGAAAATTCTCTCACAAATGTGTGTGACACTTTCCCTCCCATTTAAGCCTTCCTCTCCCATCACACACAAAATAGCAGCCTCAAATGCATGCACCTCTCACAGAGTTTTCCCGTTCTTGCTGTACATTCAGTAAGTGAAGAGAAGGTGGGCTGTTACACAACTGGAATCTTGGCATCCAAATGGAGACCTTTGATAAAACAATGCTGGATGCACATCGCATCACTCCAGACCTTAAACCAGTGGCCCAGAACCCAACACAAACGTCTTTAGACAGCAGGCTGTCTGACATGTTGGCAAGTGGGAAGAACACCCATATGCAGACTGCCGTGTGGTTTGTGCAGCTGCTGGAGCCCTGGGGATAGAAGAAACTGGACTTGGACATTTACTGACAACATACGCCAGGGTACTTGGGAAACGTGACAGAAATGCATGCACAGCATGGTTGTCCAGAAACACTGCTAGGATTAATAAGCATTTTCTTTCATAACCACACTATGGCAAATTTGTCCGTGAAGTATATCTTATAGTAAGGATCAATAGGAAAAACTAGTGTTGAACGACCTGTGTTGCTTTTTAAATAACCCAAACCACTACTTGGTACAACTGAGATTTATCTTCTTCATGGAAGGATACCTGCATTTTTGAAAGAAGTAGCCAACTGAAAATCTTCTCCCCACGTAAAATATACTCCCTTCTAGAAATAGAAAATAGAACTTCCTTCTAACCTTTCATCCTGTCAGGTAAAAAGCTGTATTGCGAAACTGAAGTCCACTACGGAACCCAAGATAACACAAGCCTTCGAAGAACATGATTCTAGCTCATAAAATGGTGAGCTCAAGGTCTGAGTGAGTGCATTTCCGGACTGACATGGTTATTGAACAGTGTGCCGACAGATATTTTGCAGTTGTAAATTTCTGAGTGATGACTACTAGTCACGATTCAAATTTATACGCGTACTCGATAATCTCCATGTGCACAAAATGGCACCCACTGACTTTCATCAATAATTGATAAACGTTTACAGAGACCAAACTGGATAAGTTAGATCAGTCAAGCTGTGGTTGTTGCATTTCTGCAGTGGCAACAGCAATGTGGAAGGCGAGCCAAGCTCTTGATGGCCATGCACAGCTGCCCCACCACAAAATGAGTAGGGCCTCAATCAGTTCATGCATGTGAATCCGCCAGGGGTGGTGACTCTGCTGTAGAACAGTGTTTTGTAGCTGAGAGTTTACTCTGACAAATAGTGCTGCTGTGCTCTTTTATCTGTTGTACTTTCCACTGAAAGAAATAGGTGGCATTGTTTTCCAAGAAACAGACATATACAGGTAAGTGACCAGGCAGATGCTATCTACCAACAAGCATGTTTCTATCCTGCCTTGGGGATTTGTTCCTCCAGCCATTCAAGGCTCTCCATCACCACTGTGGTTTTCCTCCCTCTGCAGCTTTAATCTACTTACTTAGTTTCAAGGCATGCCAGGGAAATCTGAGATCCATGTCACTATCCAAGTCAACAGGGGGCTGTTTACAAAATCACAGTAGCACTCAGGGCAAAACCTGAGAGGGAGAACAGGGAAGCAAGGAAGCCGTTGGTGGCACTGCCATCTGGTTGAATTGTTTTACTGCCTGCCAAAACACATCTCCAGCCACAGAGATGCTGACTGCACACGCTGTAAATTTATGAGTGTTGGATCCAGAAGAGACCTACTTGCTGACCTTGTGTCTGACTGCAGCATATCGTAGTATCAGAGAAACATAGAATGGCCTGGGTTGAAACAGACCACATGATCATCTAGTTTCAACCCCCTGCTGTATGCAGGTCACCGACCAGGAGATCAGGCTGCCCAGAGCCACATCCAGACTGGCCTTGAATGCCTGCAGGATGGGGCATCCACAGCCCCCTTGCGCAACCTGTTCCAGTGCCTCACCACCCTCTGTGTGAAAAGCTTCCTTGTAATATCTAACCTAAACCTCCCCTGTCTCAGTTTAAAACCATTCCCCCTTGTCCTATCACCATCCACCCTCACAAACAGCCATTCCCCCTCCTATTTATACGCTCCCCTCAAGTACTGGAAGGCCACAGTGAGGTCTCCCTGCAGCCTTCTCTTCTCCAATCTAAACAAGCCCAGTTCCCTCAACCTTTCCTCACAGCAGAGCTGCTCCAGCCCTCTCATCATCTCAGTGCCTCCTCTGGACCCACTCCAAGAGCTCCACGTCCTCCCTGTGCTGGGGGCCTGAGGCCTGGACGCAGCGCTGCAGATGGGGCATCACAAGAGCCGAGTAGATGGGGACAATCACCTCCATCCCCCTGCTGGCCACCCCTTTTTTAATGCAGCCCAGAACACAGCTGGCCTTCCGGGCTGCAGACGCACTCTGCTGCCTCATGTCCAGCTTCTCGTTCCACCTCATCGAGTTTACGTTGGGCCACCTACAAGCAGGTTTAAGCCGGTGCCTATCACTTAGACACTCTCCTGTAAGTACAAAAGCCTGCAATTGCTCAAGGTCACAGTGATGATGACTAGCCAAGCACCAACAGCCTCCTCTTGTATCCACAGGCCAGCATGTCTATTGATTTTCCTGCCTCCAACAAGGAGAATGACACTTGCAAAACTGACAGAACGACACCACACTGGTGTAAAACACTTGGAAATCCTCTCCCAGAGAGCATGAATGGGACTGTAGCACAGTTAACAACTGTGGCTCCACTCAGAAGCATCAAAAGAGATCATCAAGGCCACAGTAAAGGAGATATTCTGTCATTTCCTTGTTAACAAACATATTTCTACAGGATGAAAACATCACCATGGTGGTATTGAATGGAGCCAGTAGAACATGAAACAGGAATTGTTGTGACTATAGGGCCTTACAGAAGCCCATCTGTACTGTTTTAAAGGCCTGGACTTTAGAATGAAAGAATCGCCAAGGTTAGAAAAAGCCACCAAGATCATCTTGTCTGACCATCAACTTCAGGATATAAAAGCACATAAAAGGATATAAAAGACTTCTGTCATGCAATCTGAAAGAACATGACATGGTACCTCAAAAAAGTGAAACAATTAAGCACCAGTTTCTTGAGTTGGAAACAAGAAAATGTTTGTAATTAATTAGCTTATTTTTTATCTAACTTAGTGAAGTTCAGTAGAAACAGAATAAACCCATTAAAAATATAATTGAAGAAAGACAGGAAATTCAATTCAAAGAAACTGTGGTGCAGTTATGTAGTGATACCATGTGGCCACACTTCAGAAGTGAGGAGTAAATACCATAGGAAAGAAATATGTATCCTCCTCCATGACTAGAAGAAATGTCTGATTCTACTAGTTGTTTTAACTGGACAGACTGTCTTTAAAACTTGTGCAGAACTATTCTGATAGAAGTCAATGTCAAGAAATACAGAGAAATGATTAGGCAGTTAGGAAACCTACAGCTAAGAAAACAGAAAATACAATGTAATTAAAAACTAATTTTTGAATAAAATAAATGCATTTCATATATCTGATTAAAAAAAATAAAATTATTGCAGTCCATGAAGATGTAACTAATACAGTGACAGAAAAACTATATGTATTCACTGAGGACAGCATACATCAGATGAAGACAAACTTTTCTTGGATTTCTCTGAAGATATTAATTCAAATAACAGCTACTTGCCTCTACTTCAGACCATGGAACAACAATATGCCTAGAATCAGATCTATTAAAATATTTTGGAAAGAAAAATAATATCAAGTCCGCTAACTGTGCCTAAGCCATGAAACTGCTTTGGAAAATGTGTAATTGGAAAAGAAGAACATACCTTAGTCAATGGCTTCTTCTGAGCACAGTTCATACCTCCAATGAAGACCATATTGGGCATCACCGGTCTGGGATACTCAAACGCGAAGTCGTATCTTAATAGCCAAATAGAAGCAGAGTTCAGGAGGTCCAGAAGGGTTACGTCTCTTTGAAGAACTTCAGAGGAAAACTTTATTGCATCTTGATACATTGCATTACACTGAAAGCTCTCCAGGAGTGAAATCAGTGTATTTTGCACTCTCTGGAAAAATGTCATGTGGTCTGAGTACATTGAAGTCGGTCTCGGGACATACGACAGAGGGCTTGGGCACTGTGTAGCTTCGTAATGCAGATTACAAGGAAATCCTCTCATGAAGAACACAAATGGAAGTGAAAGGTAATTGGCAACTGTTGCTCCACACATAAAAAAGGGATCTGTGAGGACTGCATCAAAACCACTTTGATTCAAGTACTGCAGTGTTTCCATACTGCTGAACAGTTCTCTGCACTCCAGATAGAAGATTTTGAAAAGGTGTACGGTGTTCTTGTAGGGTACTATAACATTCTCCGGGAAAGGCAAACTCTTCAGGAAAGGACTGAGAAAAAGTTTAAAGGCATTATCCAGGTCTTCTAACTTGGTGGACACTGGGTATGTCTTCACAGTGTATGCGTGTTTTTCTTTCTCTCCCATCTGCCAGCTTACTTCTGGTTTAAGCACCACCACTTCATGTCCCCTCTCGGCGAGCTTCTGAACTACTTCCTTCATGCTCAGCCAGTGGCTTCCAACCGTGGGCACCACCAGGAGTTTCCCTCCTTCAGAGAGGCCAGGAATGAGGAGGATAAAAATCCCGGCAGCAAGTGGACAGCAAAGCCGCAGCGTCATTGTGCTGTGGGCAGAGCACTGACTGTGAAGCCGTTTTCTCCTTCTCCTCCTTCTCTTTCTCCAGGCTGTAGCTATAATACACTTCGGTAGGAAGTGGATGGATTTATCTGCTGAGTTGTGTTGAATTGTGATTATCTTCTAGTTAATGATTTACTGACTTAAACACTGCACACCTATCAGAGAATAATGCTGGATTTCTGAATTACTTTTAAAGCCAAGTATAGTGACCTTTACCTATGCTGAGTCAATCGAATTCTTCAATACTTGACAGAGAATGAGCTCCTTGACATCCTAGTTAGATTTTTACAGACTTCTCTTGAACACTGATGTGTCTTCACTCTGCTCTGGTCAGGACAAAGGAAGGCAAGTCTCGTGAAAACAACTTCTAGACATTTTATAACAGTAAAAATGCAATGGAATGCAGGAATTTTGGCCACAGAAAATCTGTCACAGAATAGAAAATTCTCTCACAAATGTGTGTGACACTTTCCCTCCCATGTAAGCCTTCCTCTGCCATCACACACAAAATAGCAGCCTCAAATGCATGCACCTCTCACAGAGTTTTCCCGTTCTTGCTGTACATTCAGTAAGTGAAGAGAAGGTGGGCTGTAACACAACTGGAATCTTGGCATCCAAAGGGAGACCTTTGATAAAACAATGCTGGATGCACATCGCATCACTCCAGACCTTAAATCAGTGGCCCACAACCCAACACAAACGTCTTTAGACAGCAGGCTGTCTGACATGTTGGCAAGTGGGAAGGACATCCACATGCAGACTGCCGTGTGGTTTGTGCAGCTGCTGGAGCCCTGGGGATAGAAGAAACTGGACTTGGACATTTACTGACAACATACGCCAGGGTACTTGGGAACACGTGACAGAAATGCATGCACAGCATGGGGATCAAGAAACACTGCTAGGATTAATAAGCATTTTCTTTCATAACCACACTACGGCAAATTTGTCCGTGAAGTATATCTTACAGTAAGGATCAATAGGAAAAACTAGTGTTGAACGACCTGTGTTGCTTTTTAAATAACCCAAACCACTACTTGGTACAACTGAGATTTATCTTCTTCATGGAAGGATACCTGCATTTTTGAAAGAAGTAGCCAACTGAAAATCTTCTCCCCACGTAAAATATACTCCCTTCTAGAAATAGAAAATAGAACTTCCTTCTAACCTTTCATCCTGTCAGGTAAAAAGCTGTATTGCGAAACTGAAGTCCACTACGGAACCCAAGATAACACAAGCCTTCGAAGAACATGATTCTAGCTCATAAAATGGTGAGCTCAAGGTCTGAGTGAGTGCATTTCCGGACTGACATGGTTATTGAACAGTGTGCCGACAGATATTTTGCAGTTGTAAATTTCTGAGTGATGACTACTAGTCACGATTCAAATTTATACGCGTACTCGATAATCTCCATGTGCACAAAATGGCACCCACTGACTTTCATCAATAATTGATAAACGTTTACAGAGACCAAACTGGATAAGTTAGATCAGTCAAGCTGTGGTTGTTGCATTTCTGCAGTGGCAACAGCAATGTGGAAGGCGAGCCAAGCTCTTGATGGCCATGCACAGCTGCCCCACCACAAAATGAGTAGGGCCTCAATCAGTTCATGCATGTGAATCCGCCAGGGGTGGTGACTCTGCTGTAGAACAGTGTTTTGTAGCTGAGAGTTTACTCTGACAAATAGTGCTGCTGTGCTCTTTTATCTGTTGTACTTTCCACTGAAAGAAATAGGTGGCATTGTTTTCCAAGAAACAGACATATACAGGTAAGTGACCAGGCAGATGCTATCTACCAACAAGCATGTTTCTATCCTGCCTTGGGGATTTGTTCCTCCAGTCGTTCAAGGCTCTCCATCACCACTGTGGTTTTCCTCCCTCTGCAGCTTTAATCTACTTACTTAGTTTCAAGGCATGCCAGGGAAATCTGAGATCCATGTCACTATCCAAGTCAACAGGGGGCTGTTTACAAAATCACAGTAGCACTCAGGGCAAAACCTGAGAGGGAGAACAGGGAAGCAAGGAAGCCGTTGGTGGCACTGCCATCTGGTTGAATTGTTTTACTGCCTGCCAAAACACATCTCCAGCCACAGAGATGCTGACTGCACACGCTGTAAATTTATGAGTGTTGGATCCTGAAGAGATCTACTTGCTGACCTTGAGGCTGACTGCAAGATATGCAGCTTCCTAGCTCACCGAGTTTACGTGAGGCCACCTACAAGCAGGTTTGAGCCTGTGACTATCACTTGGACGCTCTCCTATAGTACAAAGGCTGCAATAGTTCATGGGCGAAGTGATGATGCCTAGCCAAGCTCTAACAGCCTTCTGTTGTGTCCACAGGCCAGCACAATCTATTGACTTTCCTACACAAAACAACAGGAGGAATAATACTAGCAAAACTGACAGAACAACACCACACTGGCGTAAAACAGTTGGAGATCATCTCCTAGAGAGCACAAATGGGACTGTAGCACAGTTAGCAACTGTGGCTCCACTCAGAAGCATCAAAAGAGATCATCAAGGCCACAGTAAATGACAAATTCTGTCATTTCCTTGTCAGCAAACAGTTTTCTACAGGATGAAAACATCACCATGGCGGTACTGAATGGAACCAATTGAACATGAAACTGGAAACCCTGTGACCATGGAACATTACAGAAGCCCACCTGTCCTGTGTACAGGACTGGACATGTCTCCAGTGTGTCCACTACATACTTGATGCTGGTTTGCAGGTCATCAGCAAGCAGTTTCTACCCGTTCTGAAAGAGTTTCCGCAGTACGTGACTCATGCAAAACCTGTGGTTTTCACACTGGACAGTGCAAAAAGTTTCCCACCATCCCAGAAGATCATCATTACAATCACCCATGTAGCAATGAAAGAATAGGTAAGCAACTATCGTGTTCCATGTCTGTAGACCCCAAAGAAAATCCCATTGAAAACTACTGAAGAAGTCAATTTGAAGAGCCTGCTAGAAGTCAATTGATCCTTCACAGGTGTGGTTTCATTATCATTGTCATTTATCATCAGAAGTCTGGGCACAGGGCTGAGGTTTCTGATTAATCACGTAAACTATTTCCAAGTCTCATATTGGATCTCAAACTGGAATACAGAATGAATTCTCCAGTTCTCAGTTCGGTTCAGTAAGCAGGAGGTCAGGTCAGTAGCATTCACCATCGCCCTCTCTCTGAGCAAAGCAAGCAGGGAAGGAGGGGTACATTTTAGCATGTTCCTCATGTCTTTGCCTTTGGCTCCCAGAGTCACAGTCTCACACCTTCCACACGATGCAGCCCACAGACAGATGATGGCTCTTGTCTTCCCCACCTCCACACCACTTTTGGTAGGTACGACGGCACTGAATTACACCACATGCTCCTCTTACCCAGCACTGCCACAGGACACTGGCTAATGCCACAAGCAAGCACTAACAACCCATATACAGAATAGCCTCTCAGGCTCCTGCAAGACTGACCCCAAGAACCCCTGAACCTAACTCTGTGTCTTTGTATTACACACCCCTCAGGAGTTCATTTACACAATCTCCTCCTGTAATTTATCAGCAGAACTCTATAACTATCATGACAGTCAGAAACCTGAGAGAAAAAAAAAAAATCAGCTTTTTCTAGTTGTTCTTATATCAATAAGCCATTGCTTGATTTTTCCCAGTCTCTCTTCTTCCTTTCCTATTTTGGAAGCAGCACTGGACCGTTATTTCTTAGGAATCTTCCGCACGTCATTAACAGTCTGTTGTTAAGAATGTAGATCTCGATCATGCCTTTTACCACACCTGTCTCCTGACACTATCATTTTTTTATTGTACCAATTAGATCTTCAGTCCTGCAATCACTGATGACAAGTAATGCTGGCTCTTCAGACTAAAATAATTATCACACTCTCAAGTCAAAAACAAGAAAATGTTTGCAACCAGCTTATTTTGTATTTGACACTGTGAGGTTCAATGCAATGAGCATGCGCCCGTCAGAGAAGAAAGCTGAAGAAAGAGAAAACAATCCATTCCTAGATACAGTAACACAATCACATTGAGATATCGTGTGTACACACTTCAGAAGTGAGAAGGAAATACCAGAGGAAGGAAATACATAACCTCTTCCATGACCAGAAGAAATGTCCGATGCTGTGAATTGTTTAACAAGACAGAGTGTCTTTAACACTGCTGCAGAACAATTCTAATAATAGTCAGTGTCAAGAAACACATGCAAGAAATGAGTAGCCAGTTAGGAAACATCACGCTATGAAAACAGAAATAATGCAAATTAATTAAAAATAATGTTTTGAATTAATGAAATGCATTTCAAATTTCTGATGGAATTTCTGATGCTACACTCCATGAAGATGACACTGCAGCTTCATCTGATCAAAGAACAGAATGCATTCCCTGATGACCGCATACAGGAGATGAAGTCGAACACTGGATTTCTCTGAAAATATTAATTCAAGTAACAGCCACCTGCCAGCATTTCAGACCACGGGAGAAAAAGCCAAGTCTCGGAAATATTAAAATATTTCGGAAGGAAAAATAATATCAAGTACGCTAACCATCCCTAAGCCATGAAATTGCATTGCTTTGGGAAACGTGTAATTTGAGAAAATGAACATACCTTAGGCAGTGGTTTCTTCCCAGCACAGTTTATACCTCCAATGAAGACCATATTGGGCATCGCCGGTCTGGGATACTCAAACACAAAGTCATATCTCATCAACCAAACAGAAGCAGAGTTCAGGAGGTCAGTCAGGGATACATCTCTTTGAAGAACTTCAGAGGAAAGCTGTTTTGCAGCTCGATAGAACCCATTACAGTAGAAGAGCTCCAAGAAAGAAATCAGTGTATTTTCCACTCTCTGGAAAAATGTCATGTGGTCTGAATTGAAGGAAAATAGCCTAGGGACATACGACAGAGGGCTTGGGCACTGTGTAGCTTCGTAGTGTAGGTTACAAGGAAATCCTCTCATGAAGAACACAGATGGAAGTGAAAGGTAATTGGCAAGCGTAGCTCCACACATCAAAACAGGGTCTGTGAGGATTGCATCGAAGCCGCTTTGATTCAAGTACTGCAGAGTTTCTGTGCTGCTGAACAGTTCACTGCACTGAAGAAACATTTTGCCAGAAACATCTACCGAGATGTTGTACAGTTCTAGAACATACAGTGGGAGAGGCAGACTCTTCAGGTGAGCAGCAAGATACTGCTGAAAGGCATTATCCAGGTCTTCTAACTTGGTGGACACTGGGTATGTCTTCACAGTGTATGCGTGTTTTTCTCTCTCTCCCATCTGCCAGCTTACTTCTGGTTTAAGCACCACCACTTCATGTCCCCTCTCGGCTATCTTCTGAACTACTTCCTTCATGCTCAGCCAGTGGCTTCCAACCATGGGCACCACCAGGAGTTTCCCTCCTTCAGAGAGGCCAGGAACGAGGAGGATAAAAATCCCGGCAGCAAGTGGACAGCAAAGCCGCAGCGTCATTGTGCTGTGGGCAGAGCACTGACTGCGAAACCGTCACCTTCTCCTTCTCCTTCTCCTTCTCCTTCTCCTTCTCCTTCTCCTTCTCCTTCTCCTTCTCCTTCTCCTTCTCCTTCTCCTTCTCTTTCTCCTTCTCCAGGCTGTAGCTTTAATATGCTTTTCTAGGAAGGGCATGGATTTATCTGCTGTGTTGTGTTGATCCGTGATCACCTTCTAGTTAATTATTTACTGCCCTCATCTTTCCTAACCCACGGGTGAATAAAGTTTTTGGCTTTTGTTTAAGAACTTGTGAACCCAAATATAGTGATCATACCTTTGCTGAATCATTAAAATGTTCAATATTTAACAGAGAACAAGCTCCTTGACATCCTCATCGGATTTCTACAGACTTGTCTCTTGAACACTGATGTGTCTTCACTCTGCTCTTGGTCAGGACAGGAACGCAAGTCTCGTGAAAACAACTCCTTGTTATCCTATAAGAGTATCAGTGCAATGGAATGCAGGATGTTTGGCCACGGAAAATCTGCTTCAGTGGAAAATTCTCTCACAAATGTGTGTGATACTTTCTCTTCCATGTAAGGCTTCCTCTCCCATCACACACAAAACATCTGCCTCACATTCATGCACCTCTCACAGGGTTTTCCCGTTCTTGCTGTACATTCAGTAAGTGAAGAGAAGGTGGGCTGGTACACAACTGGAATCTTGGCATCCAAATGGAGACCTTTGATAAAACAATGTTGGATGCACATTGCATCACTCCAGACCTCAAACCAGTGGCCCAGAACCCAACACAAAAGTCTTTAGACAGCAGGCTGTCTGACATGTTGGCAAGTGGGATGAGCACCAACGCAGACTGCCGTGTGGTTTGTGCAGCTGCTGGAGCCCTGGGGATAGAAGAAACTGGACTTGGACATTTACTGACAACATACGCCAGGGTACTTGGGAACATGTGACAGAAATGCATGCACAGCACGGAGGTCAAGAAACACTGCTAGGATTAATAAGCATTTTCTTTCATAACCACACTATGGCAAATTGTCCGTGAAGTATATCTTACAGTAAAGATCAATAGGAAAAACTAGGCAGATGTTGGTGACAGCACCATCATTTAGATGCTTGCATTACCTGCGAAACACATCTCCAGCCACAAAGAGCCTGACTGCAGACACTGTAAATTTACAAGTGTTGGACCCTGAAAAGACCTACTTGCTGACCTTCAGGCTGATTGCAAGATATGCAGCCTCCTAGCTCACTGAGTTTATGTGAGGCCACCTACAAGCAGGTTTGAGCCTGTGACTATCACTTGGACTCTCTCCTGTAGGTACAAAAGCTTGCAATTGCTCAAGGTCAAAGTGATGATGTTGAGCCAAGAACCAACAACCCTCTCCTGTATCCACAGGCCAGCACATCTATTGATTCTCCTGCCTCCTACAAGGAGGTCTGTAGACCCCAAAGAAAATCCCATTGAAAACTACTGAAGATGTCAATTAATCCCTCACGGGTCTGGTTTCATTATCATTGTCATTTATCATCAGAAGTCTGGGCACAGGGCTGAGGTTTCTGATTAATCACGTAAACTATTTCCAAATCTCATATTGGATCTCAAACTGGAATACAGAATGAATTCTCCAGTTCTCAGTTCGGTTCAGTAAGCAGGAGGTCAGGTCGGTAGCATTCACCATCGCCCTCTCTCTGAGCAAAGCAAGCAGGGAAGGAGGGGTACATTTTAGCATGTTCCTCATGTCTTTGCCTTTGGCTCCCAGTGTCACAGTCTCACACCTTCCACACGATGCAGCCCACAGACAGATGATGGCTCTTGTCTTCCCCACCTCCACACCACTTTTGGTAGGTACGACGGCACTGAATTACACCACATGCTCCTCTTACCCAGCACTGCCACAGGACACTGGCTAATGCCACAAGCAAGCACTAACAACCCATATACAGAATAGCCTCTCAGGCTCCTGCAAGACTGACCCCAAGAACCCCTGAACCTAACTCTGTGTCTTTGTATTACACACCCCTCAGGAGTTCATTTACACAATCTCCTCCTGTAATTTATCAGCAGAACTCTATAACTATCATGACAGTCAGAAACCTGAGAGAAAAAAAAAAAATCAGCTTTTTCTAGTTGTTCTTATATCAATAAGCCATTGCTTGATTTTTCCCAGTCTCTCTTCTTCCTTTCCTATTTTGGAAGCAGCACTGGACCGTTATTTCTTAGGAATCTTCCGCACGTCATTAACAGTCTGTTGTTAAGAATGTAGATCTCGATCATGCCTTTTACCACACCTGTCTCCTGACACTATCATTTTTTTATTGTACCAATTAGATCTTCAGTCCTGCAATCACTGATGACAAGTAATGCTGGCTCTTCAGACTAAAATAATTATCACACTCTCAAGTCAAAAACAAGAAAATGTTTGCAACCAGCTTATTTTGTATTTGACACTGTGAGGTTCAATGCAATGAGCATGCGCCCGTTAGAGAAGAAAGATGAAGAAAGAGAAAACAATCCATTCCTAGATACAGTAACACAATCACATTGAGATATCGTGTGTACACACTTCAGAAGTGAGAAGGAAATACCAGAGGAAGGAAATACATAACCTCTTCCATGACCAGAAGAAATGTCCGATGCTGTGAATTGTTTAACAAGACAGAGTGTCTTTAACACTGCTGCAGAACAATTCTAATAAAAGTCAGTGTCAAGAAACACATGCAAGAAATGAGTAGCCAGTTAGGAAACATCACGCTATGAAAACAGAAATAATGCAAATTAATTAAAAATAATGTTTTGAATTAATGAAATGCATTTCAAATTTCTGATGGAATTTCTGATGCTACACTCCATGAAGATGACACTGCAGCTTCATCTGATCGAAGAACAGAATGTATTCCCTGATGACCGCATACAGGAGATGAAGTCGAACACTGGATTTCTCTGAAAATATTAATTCAAGTAACAGCCACCTGCCAGCATTTCAGACCACGGGAGAAAAAGCCAAGTCTCGGAAATATTAAAATATTTTGGAAGGAAAAATAAAATCAAGTACGCTAACCATCCCTAAGCCATGAAATTGCATTGCTTTGGGAAACGTGTAATTTGAGAAAATGAACATACCTTAGGCAGTGGTTTCTTCCCAGCACAGTTTATACCTCCAATGAAGACCATATTGGGCATCGCCGGTCTGGGATACTCAAACACAAAGTCATATCTCATCAACCAAACAGAAGCAGAGTTCAGGAGGTCAGTCAGGGATACATCTCTTTGAAGAACTTCAGAGGAAAGCTGTTTTGCAGCTCGATAGAACCCATTACAGTAGAACAGCTCCAAGAAAGAAATCAGTGTATTTTCCACTCTCTGGAAAAATGTCATGTGGTCTGAATTGAAGGAAAATAGCCTAGGGACATACGACAGAGGGCTTGGGCACTGTGTAGCTTCGTAGTGTAGGTTACAAGGAAATCCTCTCATGAAGAACACAGATGGAAGTGAAAGGTAATTGGCAAGCGTAGCTCCACACATCAAAACAGGGTCTGTGAGGACTGCATCGAAGCCGCTTTGATTCAAGTACTGCAGAGTTTCTGTGCTGCTGAACAGTTCACTGCACTGAAGAAACATTTTGCCAGAAACATCTACCGAGATGTTGTACAGTTCTAGAACATACAGTGGGAGAGGCAGACTCTTCAGGTGAGCAGCAAGATACTGCTGAAAGGCATTATCCAGGTCTTCTAACTTGGTGGACACTGGGTATGTCTTCACAGTGTATGCGTGTTTTTCTCTCTCTCCCATCTGCCAGCTTACTTCTGGTTTAAGCACCACCACTTCATGTCCCCTCTCGGCTATCTTCTGAACTACTTCCTTCATGCTCAGCCAGTGGCTTCCAATCATGGGCACCACCAGGAGTTTCCCTCCTTCAGAGAGGCCAGGAACGAGGAGGATAAAAATCCCGGCAGCAAGTGGACAGCAAAGCCGCAGCGTCATTGTGCTGTGGGCAGAGCACTGACTGCGAAACCGTCACCTTCTCCTTCTCCTTCTCCTTCTCCTTCTCCTTCTCCTTCTCCTTCTCCTTCTCCTTCTCCTTCTCCTTCTCCTTCTCCTTCTCCTTCTCTTTCTCCTTCTCCAGGCTGTAGCTTTAATATGCTTTTCTAGGAAGGGCATGGATTTATCTGCTGTGTTGTGTTGATCCGTGATCACCTTCTAGTTAATTATTTACTGCCCTCATCTTTCCTAACCCACGGGTGAATAAAGTTTTTGGCTTTTGTTTAAGAACTTGTGAACCCAAATATAGTGATCATACCTTTGCTGAATCATTAAAATGTTCAATATTTAACAGAGAACAAGCTCCTTGACATCCTCGTCGGATTTCTACAGACTTGTCTCTTGAACACTGATGTGTCTTCACTCTGCTCTTGGTCAGGACAGAGGAACGCAAGTCTCGTGAAAACAACTCCTTGTTATCCTATAAGAGTATCAGTGCAATGGAATGCAGGATGTTTGGCCACGGAAAATCTGCTTCAGTGGAAAATTCTCTCACAAATGTGTGTGATACTTTCTCTTCCATGTAAGGCTTCCTCTCCCATCACACACAAAACATCTGCCTCACATTCATGCACCTCTCACAGGGTTTTCCCGTTCTTGCTGTACATTCAGTAAGTGAAGAGAAGGTGGGCTGGTACACAACTGGAATGTTGGCATCCAAATGGAGACCTTTGATAAAACAATGTTGGATGCACATTGCATCACTCCAGACCTTAAACCAGTGGCCCAGAACCCAACACAAAAGTCTTTAGACAGCAGGCTGTCTGACATGTTGGCAAGTGGGATGAGCACCAACGCAGACTGCCGTGTGGTTTGTGCAGCTGCTGGAGCCCTGGGGATAGAAGAAACTGGACTTGGACATTTACTGACAACATACGCCAGGGTACTTGGGAACATGTGACAGAAATGCATGCACAGCACGGAGGTCAAGAAACACTGCTAGGATTAATAAGCATTTTCTTTCATAACCACACTATGGCAAATTTGTCCGTGAAGTATATCTTACAGTAAAGATCAATAGGAAAAACTAGGCAGATGTTGGTGACAGCACCATCATTTAGATGCTTGCATTACCTGCGAAACACATCTCCAGCCACAAAGAGCCTGACTGCAGACACTGTAAATTTACAAGTGTTGGACCCTGAAAAGACCTACTTGCTGACCTTCAGGCTGATTGCAAGATATGCAGCCTCCTAGCTCACTGAGTTTATGTGAGGCCACCTACAAGCAGGTTTGAGCCTGTGACTATCACTTGGACTCTCTCCTGTAGGTACAAAAGCTTGCAATTGCTCAAGGTCAAAGTGATGATGCCGAGCCAAGAACCAACAACCCTCTCCTGTATCCACAGGCCAGCACATCTATTGATTCTTCTGCCTCCTACAAGGAGGTCTGTAGACCCCAAAGAAAATCCCATTGAAAACTACTGAAGATGTCAATTAATCCCTCACAGGTGTGGTTTCATTATCATTGTCATTTATCATCAGAAGTCTGGGCACAGGGCTGAGGTTTCTGATTAATCACGTAAACTATTTCCAAGTCTCATATTGGATCTCAAACTGGAATACAGAATGAATTCTCCAGTTCTCAGTTCGGTTCAGTAAGCAGGAGGTCAGGTCGGTAGCATTCACCATCGCCCTCTCTCTGAGCAAAGCAAGCAGGGAAGGAGGGGTACATTTTAGCATGTTCCTCATGTCTTTGCCTTTGGCTCCCAGAGTCACAGTCTCACACCTTCCACACGATGCAGCCCACAGACAGATGATGGCTCTTGTCTTCCCCACCTCCACACCACTTTTGGTAGGTACGACGGCACTGAATTACACCACATGCTCCTCTTACCCAGCACTGCCACAGGACACTGGCTAATGCCACAAGCAAGCACTAACAACCCATATACAGAATAGCCTCTCAGGCTCCTGCAAGACTGACCCCAAGAACCCCTGAACCTAACTCTGTGTCTTTGTATTACACACCCCTCAGGAGTTCATTTACACAATCTCCTCCTGTAATTTATCAGCAGAACTCTATAACTATCATGACAGTCAGAAACCTGAGAGAAAAAAAAAAAATCAGCTTTTTCTAGTTGTTCTTATATCAATAAGCCATTGCTTGATTTTTCCCAGTCTCTCTTCTTCCTTTCCTATTTTGGAAGCAGCACTGGACCGTTATTTCTTAGGAATCTTCCGCACGTCATTAACAGTCTGTTGTTAAGAATGTAGATCTCGATCATGCCTTTTACCACACCTGTCTCCTGACACTATCATTTTTTTATTGTACCAATTAGATCTTCAGTCCTGCAATCACTGATGACAAGTAATGCTGGCTCTTCAGACTAAAATAATTATCACACTCTCAAGTCAAAAACAAGAAAATGTTTGCAACCAGCTTATTTTGTATTTGACACTGTGAGGTTCAATGCAATGAGCATGCGCCCGTCAGAGAAGAAAGATGAAGAAAGAGAAAACAATCCATTCCTAGATACAGTAACACAATCACATTGAGATATCGTGTGTACACACTTCAGAAGTGAGAAGGAAATACCAGAGGAAGGAAATACATAACCTCTTCCATGACCAGAAGAAATGTCCGATGCTGTGAATTGTTTAACAAGACAGAGTGTCTTTAACACTGCTGCAGAACAATTCTAATAAAAGTCAGTGTCAAGAAACACATGCAAGAAATGAGTAGCCAGTTAGGAAACATCACGCTATGAAAACAGAAATAATGCAAATTAATTAAAAATAATGTTTTGAATTAATGAAATGCATTTCAAATTTCTGATGGAATTTCTGATGCTACACTCCATGAAGATGACACTGCAGCTTCATCTGATCGAAGAACAGAATGCATTCCCTGATGACCGCATACAGGAGATGAAGTCGAACACTGGATTTCTCTGAAAATATTAATTCAAGTAACAGCCACCTGCCAGCATTTCAGACCACGGGAGAAAAAGCCAAGTCTCGGAAATATTAAAATATTTCGGAAGGAAAAATAATATCAAGTACGCTAACCATCCCTAAGCCATGAAATTGCATTGCTTTGGGAAACGTGTAATTTGAGAAAATGAACATACCTTAGGCAGTGGTTTCTTCCCAGCACAGTTTATACCTCCAATGAAGACCATATTGGGCATCGCCGGTCTGGGATACTCAAACACAAAGTCATATCTCATCAACCAAACAGAAGCAGAGTTCAGGAGGTCAGTCAGGGATACATCTCTTTGAAGAACTTCAGAGGAAAGCTGTTTTGCAGCTCGATAGAACCCATTACAGTAGAACAGCTCCAAGAAAGAAATCAGTGTATTTTCCACTCTCTGGAAAAATGTCATGTGGTCTGAATTGAAGGAAAATAGCCTAGGGACATACGACAGAGGGCTTGGGCACTGTGTAGCTTCGTAGTGTAGGTTACAAGGAAATCCTCTCATGAAGAACACAGATGGAAGTGAAAGGTAATTGGCAAGCGTAGCTCCACACATCAAAACAGGGTCTGTGAGGACTGCATCGAAGCCGCTTTGATTCAAGTACTGCAGAGTTTCCGTACTGCTGAACAGTTCACTGCACTGAAGAAAGAATTTGCCACAAAAATCTACTGAGATGTTGTACAGTGCTAGAACATACAGTGGGAGAGGCAGACTCTTCAGGTGAGCAGCAAGATACTGCTGAAAGGCATTATTCAGGTCTTCTAACTTGGTGGACACTGGGTATGTCTTCACAGTGTATGCGTGTTTTTCTCTCTCTCCCATCTGCCAGCTTACTTCTGGTTTAAGCACCACCACTTCATGCCCCTTCTCGGCTATCTTCTGAACTACTTCCTTCATGCTCAGCCAGTGGCTTCCAATCATGGGCACCACCAGGAGTTTCCCTCCTTCAGAGAGGCCAGGAACGAGGAGGATAAAAATCCCGGCAGCAAGTGGACAGCAAAGCCGCAGCGTCATTGTGCTGTGGGCAGAGCACTGACTGCGAAACTGTCGCCTTCTCCTTCTCCTTCTCCTTCTCCTTCTTTTTCTCCTTCTCCAGGCTGTAGCTTTAATATGCTTTTCTAGGAAGGGCATGGATTTATCTGCTGTGTTGTGTTGATCCGTGATCACCTTCTAGTTAATTATTTACTGCCCTCATCCTTCCTAACCCACGGGTGAATAAAGTTTTTGGCTTTTGTTTAAGAACTTGTGAACCCAAATATAGTGATCCATACCTTTGCTGAATCATTAGAATGTTCAATATTTAACAGAGAACAAGCTCCTCGACATCCTCGTCGGATTCTACAGACTTGTCTCTTGAACACTGATGTGTCTTCACTCTGCTCTTGGTCAGGACAGAGGAACGCAAGTCTCGTGAAAACAACTCCTTGTTATCCTATAAGAGTATCAGTGCAATGGAATGCAGGATGTTTGGCCACAGAAAATCTGCTTCAGTGGAAAATTCTCTCACAAATGTGTGTGATACTTTCTCTTCCATGTAAGGCTTCCTCTCCCATCACACACAAAACATCTGCCTCACATTCATGCACCTCTCACAGGGTTTTCCCGTTCTTGCTGTACATTCAGTAAGTGAAGAGAAGGTGGGCTGGTACACAACTGGAATCTTGGCATCCAAATGGAGACCTTTGATTAAACAATGCTGGATGCACATTGCATCACTCCAGACCTTAAACCAGTGGCCCAGAACCCAACACAAACGTCTTTAGACAGCAGGCTGTCTGACATGTTGGCAAGTGGGAAGAACACCAACGCAGACTGCCGTATGGTTTGTGCAGCTGCTGGAGCCCTGAGGATAGAAGAAACTGGACTTGGACATTTACTGACAACATACGCCAGGGTACTTGGGAACATGTGACAGAAATGCATGCACAGCACGGAGGTCAAGAAACACTGCTAGGATTACATGTCATGATGCCCCTCTGTTTGTATAGTGTGATATATGATTGCTCATAGCTAACTGCTAGCACTCTTATTCTTCAAGCTTAACAAGAAGCAAAAAAAGTTGCTCCAAGTCCTGAGTTACTGGACATCAGGGCAAGACTGATAAGGAGAAGCTGAGCCCTCCTTTTAAAGCTCTGAGAAGGGGAAATGAGGGGAAACCTCATGGTAGCCTGAAGCTCCTCAT